GCCGGCGCACGAGGGGTCCCCGCTGTGCCCAGCCCTGCGGTCAGAGGAGGGCCGGGCGGGAGGCGCCACAGCGTCCCGGAGGGCAGAAAGGGTGACCCTAGGCGCCTGTGCGGGGAGGCCGGCGTGATGGTGAAATCACTGCGGTTCAGATAGCACATAGCCTTAAGTGCAAAGGTTACATTTAACGTCGCAGACTTCGGATTTCATTTGAACCAGGCATTAGGGGTGACGATGGTGAGAGCTGTGGCCAAGGAGGGTGGTCTGAGGAATGTCAGATCCTAGGGATCCAGCCCACCCATTGCACCGAACGGTCCCCGGAAGCCAGGGTGCAGGTCCCTTATTTGAAACTTGGGTTGAAGATGGATCTCCGTCCCAAATCCCCTGCCTCCAGCTGAGGGTGCGCTCGTGCTGGCCGTTCTTCCCGCCCTCTTCTTCATAAGCTCAGGTGCACACAATTGAAAGACTCCTGCTCTTCCAAGACAGCTCTTGAGCCCGTGTTCAAACCCACACACCTTCTGCGTCTTCCTCTTCCCACCACAGTTACTGTGTCATTTTCACCTCTCTGCACCACACTTACTGTGTAATTTTCATTTTTTCCGTAGTCATGTTGCAGTACCATGGCTGTAGAAACTAATCACAGAAGAACCAGCTAGTAATTGATAATTTATTTTCCATGAATTCTCAGCTCTTCCCTTGGTTTGGAGTTACTGTTGTGTTCTCATTTGTTTCGTTTCAGTCGGTTATTAACGCTCTCCCAAACTCTGCCGCTGTTCACGTCTTCTTCAGGTGTTCACCAACAGGTACCTACAGTATCTTCTCATAGAGGTCACTCTTTGTTGCGTGTGTCCTCAGCGCCCCTGCCGCTCAGCATTGTCCCAACGTTCACTGGCTGTAAGAGAGAAGGAATTAATGCCTCCCAGAATCATTAATCTTCCACCCATGATTGGGGAAAGTTAGTGGCTCAGCTTCTGTTTTCCTCACCCCTCAGGATAACTGAGCCATGAGCCAGCCCCTAAGCTGTCTCCTAGGGTTCTCCAATTAAAGAAATAAAAAAGGCCTAACCCAAGTGTTTCCTAAGTATGTGTTGCAGGTAGCATACAACTTCCTTTAGTATACTCCTTTGAACAGGAATTGTTACATTGCTCATTTTATCTCTTTCAAAATATAGTGTAAGTGTATTTTTTTTCTTGGAATAAGAGTAATACCTGCCCAGTGTAAGAATTCTAACTAAAAAATTAAGACTATCATCAGGGAGAAAGATAATTACATGAACTCGAGCCTATAGAAATAAGCATTGTAACCTCTTGTTCTCTCTTGACCTTTTCTTCTGTAAACACATTTTGCCTTTTAAAAAAACGTAATGGAATAGTACTATATACTTTTGTGGTTAGTTAACCTGCTTTTTTTTTCCAGGTATTATTTTCATATATTGTGGTCAATTTTCATGCTAATCAGTGTAAGTTAACAACAGTACTCCTTCTAATGGCTGAATTGTGTATTTATATGGTGCCATAAGTCAGCATTCCTTATTGACTGAAACTTAGGTTGTTTTCAGTGTTTCACTGTGATAAAGAATACTAGCATTAAAAAAAAAAAAGAAGCCGGGATTTAGCTCAGTGGTTCTGCTACCTGCCTCACAAGCACAAGGTCCCAAGTTCGATCCCCAGTACAAAAAAAAAAAAAAAAAAAAGAAAGAAAGAAAAAAATGCTGCCACGAACATCCAATTTCACACTTCTTTGTACTTTAATCAGATTGTTCACTGAGGATAAATTTGCAGTCACAGAAACTGCTGATGCCATGGTGGGCACACTGAAATTGCCCTTCAGGAAAGGGCTATGTTGTCCATTTTCCAGTCAGCAGGTGCCCTTATTTTAATGTGAAGTTTGTAGGGAAGGTTTATTAAGAATAAGGAATCATATTTCTTTTTTTTTGTTTTGGTACTGGGGATTGAACTCGGGTCCTTGCGCTTGCAAGGCAGGCCATCGAACTGCTGAGCTAAATCCCCGGCCCGGAATCATATTTTATTTCAAGGAAACTAAAAGGCACCTTGATGACTGTGAAGATGGCAATAGAAATAACAGGATTGTGGTACTTCCAGGTGCCTGTTGCAGATCTGCTAGAACATTCCGTGCCTTGGTTGTGAGAACTTACTGGAGCCAGTTTGTGCTCCTTCACATTGTTGCTCAGTGTTCTTGTGTTGGGCAGCAGCACCTGGTACTTGTAAGCACTGGTGAGCTCATCTGCGCAGTCACAGGCCAGCTGTGAAGGGAGGAAGGGCTAGAGGTGGAGGGGACAGGGTAGAGGTTCATAGGCTCTGACTTGAGACAGGTCAAGGCGAGCAGGAGGAATGCTTAGGGCCCCTTGAGAAGGTGATGTTGGAGGGGTTCTAGAGGAGTGAAGGGAAGCTTAGGCAGAAGAAGGAGAAGGTAATGGAGAAGGTAATGTGATTTTGAAGGGCTTGGGATCCTGCACAAAGGATGTTCAGGGACCCTGTAGAAGGGCTTTGTGGAAGGGATTGGTGGGAAGTTGAGATGCTCAGGGCCTATGGCTTAGTTGATGTTGGCATGATCGAGGGCAGATGGAAGGTTGGGGCCTTGGAGATGGTGATATGGGGAGCAGTTGGTGGTGCGTGGATCGGATGCTTGGGGACCCTGGAGAAGATGATGTTGGGGGGGTTGTCCACCTGATGGATTGCTCTTTTGAAGAAGTCAGAAGTGACCATGTCGAGGGTGTTCGTGGGATTTGGGGGAAACATTTTTAGGGGTTAGCAGGTGTAGTGAAGAGATTTTCCCAGCAGTGAGTGCATGTCTTTCGAAGACATGTCTTTCGAAAGACTCTTGTCTTTCGAAGATTGGAACCTTGGTCTTCAATGGTAGTGTCTGGCTGTAGCATGAACAGTGTAGTTTCCAAGGTGGAGAAGGAAGAGGGTAAACTTAGGAGAAGCTGAAGCCCAACTTGGGTGCAAACTGTCTTTGACAGTGTTATCAGAGAATCTCGCAGTGAGTTCTAGGATTGTGTACATGACAAAAGTAAGTGTTTCACAACCCAAACTTCAAGATACCATTCATGTTTTATTATGCTTATTTCTACTGCCATGAAAAATGCTTTCCTCCTGATGGGAGTAAAATTACAGTGAAATTAGCACCCATAAAATCTATGTGTAGCCCGTTGCTCTTCCCACTGTGGTTGCCCCCTAGGGTCTGTGTGGTGTGTGCCCAATGGGGGCTACTTTCTAATGACCCTTCTTGTCTCTTTTCTCTCTCAGGGGTTGGAAAAACCACCTTGATCCGGAAAGCCAGTGAGCTTCTACAGTCCTCTGGGGTGCCTGTGGATGGATTTTACACAGAAGAAGTCAGGCAGGGAGGGAGGAGGACAGGATTTGATGTGGTTACCTTATCCGGTGCCCGGGGACCACTGTCCAGAGTCGGGTACTGATGTTTCTCTTCTGTGATGTTTTCATTCTGGGCTATCCTGTCCATATTTTGAGAGCATTTCTAGTCTTAATTACCTGGAGCTAACTTCTCCAGAACCTTCGGCAGGGTCCTGGAATGTTCTGCCTTCCCTCCAGGCTGAGAGTTTTCTTCCTGGCTCGGGTTGAACCAGTGTCATTGTATGTCTTGAGGAATATTGGAGCCTTCATAGCTTTCCTAGAGGAAGAACAGAGACTGTTGTGTGAAAAACAAGGTTACAAAGGCCTTTATACATATTCCTGTCTTTGCAATTGTTAGCCTCTTGTCTAGAGCTACTTTTCAGAGAGTTGGTGCCTAGTTTTTGGAGCTGCCGGGCCAAGGTATGGGGAAAAGGATGCCCCTTGAAGGCACTGGGAACTTCTAAGTGTAGTACTCTTCTCCAAGGAAAGGCTGAGTCAGGGCAGCCTCCTATGTGGCAATCATTGAGGATGATTTAGTGGGCACACCCAGCAGGAGAACTCAGTAGGTTTTCCCCAGAACACCCTGTCTTTTCTTTCAGGTCTGAGCCCCAGCCCGGGAAGCGTGACTACCGAGTCGGGCAGTATGTGGTTGATCTGACTTCTTTTGAGCAGTTGGCACTTCCTGTCCTGAAGAATGTGAGTATAAGCTTCTGCCCAGTGAGCCCCTCTTCACTTGTGTATTGTGGAATTCATAGACCATGGGACAGAATAGCCTTTGCTTCTACAAGGAGTCTAGATTTGCCTTTTTACAGTTTAAAGTCTTTAAAGCAGTTGAGCCTGAATAAAGATATGCTCTGTAGTTTGCTGTCACTCTGGGCCATTGGCAGAGTCTTTGTCACACACATTCAGCATAGGTAATTGTTCTTAGAGAGCTTAACTGGCAATGTCCCCAAAGAGAGGGCCTTCCTGCGTCCTCCCATGTGTTTTGTTCAAGCCTTTTTATACACTTACTCTATTGGGGAGACCTGCATCTGTGTTCATATGGGGTGTGATTGGTAGCTTAGGGTCAGGAACAGAAGAGATGTTCTTTCTATCTCAGGACCTCGGCCATGTGGGGGGCAGACATTGAATGAGTACATGGACACTGGGGTTAGTGCTGTGAGGAAAGCTAGGGTGTTGAGAGAGAGCAGCAGGAGGGACTAGCTTTGTATCGGGGAACCAGGAGAGGGCTCAGCGGAGGTGACATCTAACCTGAGAGGTAGAGAGAGAGTGAGAGAGAGAGAGAGAGTGAGTGTGTGTGTGTGTGTGTGTGTGTGTGTGTGTGCGTGTTGGGGTGATGGGGGCATGGACAGGGGAGGCGGCAGAGGGAGCATTCTAGATGGCAGGACAGACATCCTGATGGCAGGACAGACATCCTGAGACTGCAGCCTCCAGGCCAGTGCAGCTGATGATAGAGAAGGCAGGCCCTGTGGACCGGGATAACAGTGTGACTTCCTGCTTGGACTGACTTCTGGGAAATTAAAATGGTACAGGCTCATCTCAAGAACCAATTATAAACCTTCCAATGCTTTTCACCTCCCTGAGAGAGAAGTCCCGGTCAGAGGTCAGCTGGCTTCATGTGTGTGTGTGTGTGTGTGTGTGGCGCCTTAGTGACCACCTGGGGCCTGCTCAAGAGTTTAGATACAGCCTCAGTTTCAGAGAGCTGGTGGGGTCCATGGTCTCTGCTGCTCCCCTGCCTCCTTTTCCCTCCTCCTTCCTTTTGCATTCCTTCCTCAAGGGACTGTGATGGCTGCTGTATTGCATGGGAGCAGTCAGAGAATGTGGTATATTTCTACTTACTTTCCCATCACATATATAACCTCTCTATCTAAATGTTCAAACTGCAAGTGAACAGCTTCTAATGAAATTCAAGTGAAGAGCCTGGCTTTGGGCATTAGATCAATAGAAAGAATTGATTTTTCCTTACTGTGCTCAGAGGAGGATGCGCACAGGCTTGCTGACTAGCTGCAGGATTGCACAAGAGCTCCTGTGCGAATGGATCGAGCCCTTGCATCCCTTTTTAATGAAAAAATAAAAGCAGACTTCTCCTAGGTTTTGTACTCTGATTACCAAATCTAGACAATCACATTCCAGGTGGGAAAAGTCCCTGGCAGAAGGTCTTGGATTTCTTTTCTAGAGCAAAAGTATTTCTCCCATGTCCCTTATTTTAGTGTGATGAAGGAGGAAGGAATGAATTAGTTTTGCTTTTATTCTAAGAAGTTAAATTACTTAGACATCAAAAACGGGAGAATAAAGAGACAGTTTTTTTATGGAACCCTGATTTAGGCAGGCGAAACCCTTCCCCCAGTGGCATGACATTTTAGTGCATTGTGCTGTGTGGGTACCTGTGAAAACACACATTCTAACAATGTCACGAAATACTCTATTATATAGAGTTAAGAAATTTCTCTCTCTGAGGGAAAGATACTGTGAGTCTTTTTCTGCTTTCTGAGACTGGGGTTTCGAAGTATTCCAGGCTGGCTTCAAACTCAAGGTGATCCTCCTGCCTCAAGCTACCAAGTGACGGGATTACAGGTGTGTGCCACGCCTGCCTACCTCCCTCTTTTAAAATGCCATGAAAAACATAAGAGAGACAATTTTCTGGTTGGGCCAGCATGACTTGCTTTTTATCCGCGGGGAAGTAAGACTGGCTGGGGCTGGAAGCAGCTTGAGGTCGGGGGGAGTGAGAGGAGACCCAGGTGCCTACTTACCTGCAGGTACTTTGGTCGTATTCTGTAGGAGGAAGCAGATAGAACCAGGTCATGCCAGGCACAGAGGGAAATAAGGAAGTAAGAGTGGGTTGGTAAGCACCTAGACTCAGTAAGTTTTAGAAATGCCTGGTAGTCTTGGCTGTTGATTGCTCCATCCATGGGTGACATTTTGTCATATTTGACAACACTCATTTTACCAAGCACTAAAGTTCTCTATGCTCATGGTAGAAAATTTGTAAAACGCAATGACAAAGGAAAATATGAATAAAGAAATATGAATATGAAAAGAAATATGAATAGCTCATAAGCTGATCACAGAGCTAGCCACTGTTAGCATATTTTGTTTCTGACCCCACCCCCTTTAACTTACTCAGTCATTTAGAATTGAGAAAAATGGAATAAGTAACTTTTGTTTTGTTTTTTGAGACAGAGTCTCTCTTTGTAGTTCAGGCTGGCTCTGAACTTGTGGCAATCCTCCTGCCTCAGCCTCCCAAGTGCTGGGAACACAGGCATTTGCCTCCATGCCTGGCATGGAATAAGTAATTTTATAGGCTTAGTTTGTTTTTTTCTCGGTATGGTTGAATAACATGGAAATGGTCTCATAACTCGATAATTCTCAGAACTGCTATTTAATGATTGCATATGTCGTGCTGGGGTTTCCATGTTTGATTTGAGTGCTGTTACCACGGTGCTGCCTAATAGGTTACTATCCCTGTCAGGACCAACCTTGCCACCATGTACTGTCTGTGCAGCAGTCTGCAGCCGCAGTGGTGCTGCTGATGTGGGGGCGAGAGCCTGGCAGGCTGCGTGGGCTGCGGAGGCTCCTGGCCAGTGTGTCACTTTGTGCCCGCCGCCATTCAGGGTCACCTATAACTTGCTGTGCTTTTGCCAGTGCTGAACTGATTTTAAATTAAAACCATACACTGCTTTGTTTTGCATTTTTAAGTTACTAGTAAGTTAGGTATTTTTCAATTGTTTATTGGGAAAGTTTACTTTAATCAAAGTAGTGGGTCCATCCCTCTTTCCATTTTTTTTTTCCTTTTGGCTTAAAGAGGTCTTTTGATGGCAAATAAACTTTTTATATTCATTGATTCTATTTTTCATTTACTGCTTTACTTTGGTCATTTCCTTCTTCCCTCCCTGCTTCCCGCTCTGCTTCCCTTTCCTTCTCACATAGATAGAAATTTGGACTCTATTCCAAGTTGATATAAAAATTTACATGTGTCTTCTTCTGCATGCTTTTTAAAAATCACATTGTTGCTTCGTCTGGATTTATTTTGAATGACATATACAGTGAGATTCTTAATTGGTTTTCTTCCAGATTAGCCAATTTACCAAAATCATTTTTTAAATAACCCACTTCTAATTGATTATGTTTCATGAGTTATATTTTTAAAAGTGTGTGTGTGTGTTTGTATGTTTTAGGGATATCTGTTCCCTTCCATTGATCTGTTTGATCCTTGCATCAGCACCATATTTGTTCTTTAAAAAATGGCCTTACTGTCATTACTCACTCTTCCAAATTGTACTATGCTGGTGATAACAGCGGCGGCAACAGTTCTCCATTACTGAGTGCAAACTATGTGTCAGGTGCAGACCTAGTCAGTCCTCAGAACATTTCCACCATGTTCCTCTTCTACAGATGGGAAAATGAGGCACGGAGGAGGAAGGACCTTCCTAGGGACACAGAGCTTGCAGTTGGTAGAGCTGGTGTGAATTGTAGAATCAAGACTTCATTGTTCATGAAAAAATTATATAATATTAATAGGAGCTATACAAAACTAGCTGTTTTGCTATAAAAGTTCCTTAATTTTTCAGAGCATCTTCATTGTCTTTAGCCAAAACAATACTTTTTCTCCTTCCATTCCTTTGAAAGTTTTTTCTGGTGTGGTTATTCATTGCCTCTTCTAATTTCTGGTGCTGATGTAATGAGAGTTGGGTTTTAATTCTCAAATGGTCAGGGCTGGTAGGATAGCAATGGCCTTTTCCACAACAGTCTTTGCATAGCTACACTGAATGCTCTCCTAAAAATTGGTGCAGTGTAGGATTTAGCATGCTACTGGTTTTCTGTATATCTCTTACTCACACAAAAGGAAAACAATGTATTGTGGTATTTAAAGGAAGAAAGGACTCTCCTTATAGCCCTATTTCCAGTGCCATTTTTACAAAGATCTCTAGGAGGAATAGTAAGTTACAATCAGAACATCCATTTGAAACCAACATAGTTTGAACCTTGTACTTCCCTGTTTTGATCCAAGTAAGACTTTATTTAAAGTATATTTGCTTTTGAAGCAGGGTCTGCCTTTGATTCTGAAATAGATGCTTATTGTATCTCCCAAGTTTGTTCAACTCCTCTCCCAGGCAAGGTGATACCTTAATGCTTGACCTGGAAGTGTCACTTTGTGCTTCAGGTCTCTGGGCTTTAGGAGGACTCAACCATCAAGTTTCCGTTGGATCCACCCTGGAAGGATTGGTGGGAGTGTCCTACAATTTCCTTCACTCTTGTTAGCGATTGTGGCATTTGCTCTTGTTCCTCTGTGTCTGTTTCTCTGCTCTTGATCACACATATACTGCAAGGTCAGCCCGACACGCAGAGGCTTTCTGGTGTAAACAGAGACCTTGGCTTCACCATCCTCAGTGAGAACATCCCTGCAGGGAAGCCAGAGAGGAGCAGGAGCTGGAAGCTGGCCCAAGCAGCCGCTATAGCTCACTTGCTGCATTTGCTGTGGGTCTGGTGACTCTCACTGGCTGCCTTCCTGGTGTCACCTGGCAGGGTGAGGCTCTACTGTCCCGCTGCTGCCTTTGGTGTGATTCTGTGGATCAGATGCCCTCAGTTACAACACCCACTTGCGGTTCTTCATGCAACCACCTGTCAAGGTTGCCAGCTCCTTAGGCAGGACTGGAGTTGCATCTGTGCAGACTGTGGCATTTACTCTTTCCCCACAC